CTTGTAACACACAACAGTTGGCGTGGAACTTTACTGGAGATAATAAGTGATCACAGTTCTAAAGATACAATTGTCATCAATCCCTCAGGCTAGAAAAAGACCCTGCGCTGGAACGATACAGTGAGCAGTGTGAGTCCTTACTCTCCCGCTGCCAGCTCTTCTCACTGTGGTCAGCATGTAATCTCCTGCCTTGAGACCATCTAGAACGTGGGCGAAATCCTGCTCTGACACGCTGTCATGATGATGAGTAGAAACATATGCAAAATGCTGGGGTCAGGCAGTGAGAGCAGTAATGGTGGGACGTCCAGGGTTCATATCCCTGGGGCTCCCCATTTTCTGAGTGTACATACCCAGGATCTGAGCTGGCTGAGGCTGGGGAGATTGCAACATGAAGACCCTGTAAGGGGGAGGGGGACTGTCTTCCTCTCTTTCTTGCTCTCTATCATATGGAAGAAATGGATTAATAAACTTAAAAATAAGAATATATGTAAAATGCTTGGCACCATGGATGGCTCGTAGAAATTACTCAATGTTATTTGTATTATTATTAGAAAAAAAATTATTAGCTTACTGAGAACATGCCAGCATTGTCACTTTCATTTTTTCTTTTTTTGTTTTTAGTTATCTTCTATGAGTGAGTGAGAAGAAAGAGAGTGAGAGGTAACACCTGTAGCCTCGGCCAGTCCTGTGTCTGGGGCACACATGGACTTGAGGTCTCCAGATGCAAACCGGAAACCTTGTCACGTGAGTCAACCTCACAGAAGGTTACATCGTACTATTGTGTCTCCATCTGATGGTAGCATTTTTTGAGGTACAAAGGTTAGAATGTTTACTTACTAGGACTGAGTGTTTTCATTTTTGGAGGATGGAAATTCTGTTCCAGACTGGAATGACGCTCATTAACATCTGGATTAGGTGGTCGGAAGTGCATTTAAACGAAAGAAGCAGTCATAGAAATGGGGGGCACTGTTAACCCCAGGACTCAGTTTCATAGGTAGAGTAGATGGTCACTGGTTATTTCTGCTTTTCGATTATGTTCTGTAAGAAGCAGCTAATTTTAGAGCAGAGCGTCAAACCTTCCAAGTGTCAGAAAACATTCCACTCGGAGCTGTCGTATTCATCTTTGTCTCTCAGCACCTGGCCCTGTGCCTGACATGGTGCAGCCCTGCGCTGGATTCGGAGGCCAGCCCGCGGTGGAAGCAGCTGACCATGATGTGGCCAGAGTAACGAGGCGATCTACTGGCCTAGGAATGCCAAGCCTTATTTGGTGAAATGAATGAAAGCAGTGCATAGAAAATAGGCAACAAAATACCTAGCTCTGGAGGAGTAAATCAAAGCTGCTGGCGAGGACTTCGGAAAATGGACATGGTGCTTTGGCTGACACAGGTTTTTATGGACAAAAAGAAAAAGGACCTTAAAGGCCGAATAGTGGTGCAGCAGTAAAATGCAATGCTCTGTGAGGCCAAGCTGGGGCCAGATTCTGGGCTGGAGTCTGGAGACCTCCCTGAGTATGCTGGGCATGCGTGTGTCCAGAGGCTGGAGGTCGATCGCAGAGACAAGACCCTGTAGGGCGTGCTGCCTCTCTGTTTCTGTCCCTCTTGTTTGTGGAAGAAATGAATAAAAAAGCTTAAAGAGAATGACCTCAGAGAAGAGAATGTCAATACCACACTGCGACATTGCAACAGTGGGTGGTTTGGGGGTGCAGGAGAGAGCACGGTTAGGACCTTTGGGCAACGTGGCCCGGTGGAAAGGCGTGGTTTGGTCAACGCCAGCCTGGATCACTGGTTACCTGCATGGTAGTTCTCCTCTTTAGTGAAAAGTTGATAATCAAGGGGTAAGGCATGAGGATTAAGGAAATACATGCAACCAGAGTGATTGTTTAGAAATATAAATCCATGGGCCAGCAGGTAGCGTGTTGGTTAAGGCATTAGACTTCCACATGACTGACTGGTGCAAGTCCCAGACCTGAAAGCTTGCTTTCTCACTTTCCCTCTCTTTCTCTGGGGAGCATATGTATCATATAGCTAATTAAAATAATAATAAATGCAATTAAATAAATAATTCTTAAAAAAATAAAATAAACCCAATCACACCAGCCCTATTGAGATTTGGTTACTCAGAGTATCCCTCAGCTTCTTTTGGCAGCTTAAAAGACCGCCATGATTAGACCCCTGCCCATCTTCCCAGCTTCATCTCAAACCACACACCCTCTGTCCACTCTGTTCCAGACACACTGACCTCCTCTTGATTTAAGGACACATTTTTGTCACTCTGAGTCTTTGTACTTGCTGTGGTACTGCCTCTCTTTTACAGTAAGCTATTTGGTTCTGCAAATAACCATCCTCCTTTGAGCCCCAGTTCCAGTGTCACCTCTTCAAAGGGGTCTCTGCAGATGCCCTCACAGATGCCTTGCTTCATTTCCCTCAGAAAGCTTAAACTCTCAAAGACTTTGATCATTAGTTAGTGTATGTTTTCACTATTGTTCCCACCTGGTTAAAGAGAAAATTCTTTATGTGTAAGGGGGTGAATTTGCCTGTTTTTCACTGCATACTCTGAGCCTGGCACAGAAGAACACAGAATGGGAACAGAAAGAAACAGAGCTTGGCTGGCGCATGGCGGTTCTCGGTTCTTAGAATTGTAACCATTATGCCATCTAGCATTTTGTGCCTTCCTTCAGATCATTCAGAATAAGTGAATAATTGCTATTTTAGTAAAAAAAAAAATTGTGACATAAAAAATGTTTAAATATACATGACTATTATTTGCCTTGCCGTAATTACAATGGAAAAGAAATGGATGTTTACATGTTACCAAATGCCATGGAGGGTGGGTTTGGTACATTTTCTGCAAGTGCCCAGAAGGCCCTACTGCAAATATCCACTCACTCCTACACCACCAGAGTCGTTTTTCTAACCTGGAGTGAACGATTGTGCCTTTCCTTCCATTTGTACACACACAATAGATAGTTGTACATAAATAGATATTCAACAGCTCCAGCAAAATTCCAACTGCTAAAGAGAAGAAAAATGTCAGAGTAAGCTGTAAAAAAAGTGCTTGGTTTTTTAAATGGAGAAATGGCAATTCACAGCATTTATACAAATTGCCATATACTGTGGGTTGCAACTCAGATATTGAATAGTAAGAAAAGTTGCAGCTAGGAGCAAATCTGAGGACACTTGTTTTGAAAGTAAAGGCTTAGTCAGTATTATGGCATTCTGCCAATCTGCATATCATTAACTAGACTGCTTTGTATTGGGATTGAGACTTCACGTATTGATTTTCTCATATGTAAAAACACTCTGAGTAGAACTCTATTTTAAAATGTTTAAAAAGAAACTTATCTTGGGTGAGATAAGGAAAATTCATTTTTTTTTAAGTCCCCTTATATTTTTGGCATACTAATCACAACAATATGAACATGACGAATCCAAGGGCTGCCTGGATCTAATATTTTGTACTTCATGTTTTTGTTGTAATTTTGCACACATTCTGTGAATTCTATACATATACAGAATTATGAGATGGTATCAGCAGAAAGCAGAAAGAGCTTCATAAGTAGTTGGATGAACTAGAACGTGTGAGGCTCATAGTGAGACTGTCTTGAAGAGCTAGGCCCAGTTGCTCTGATGCAGCAGTAAGGCAAGTGCCCTCCCTGCAAGGCAGCATAGGTTTGGATTCCCGGGTTGGCTGAAACCACACAGGGCACAGGGATGGGTGCCCAGGTTCCTGTGGAGTTGGAGGGCTACAGACTGGGGATCACAGTTGATGAGACTTTGCTGAGGGTATGAGGGTGCACCCCTCCCCCATGCACACAGGCTCCATCCCAACAGAAGAGCTAGACTTGTAAAGTTAAGTCATGACTAGTAACTTTCCCCACTAGATGTGCCACGGGAGCTGGAATTACACCAACACATAGTGTGTTGAATTTCTTATGCATTTGTACTTTCTACTCTCTTTTCTCAGTATTGGGATATTCAGTATGAATTTTCCTCATTAAAGACTAATTTATATGATTATTTTAGAGTTGCTAGAATAGAAATGGATATTTGTAGATGGAAAAACAAGTTAGTTTTGTGGATGAATGGGATGATATCCAGAGCCCTGGGCCATAGCATGCAAAGAAAGCCCATGTGGATGTGAGCTAACACAGGGCCTAGTTCCTACAGACTCAGCCCATGGTCTTGAAGGTTACTTCTCCAAGAATGCCTTTTCTAAAAAAAAATTGTTTCTTTCATGAGAGTGAGAGACAAGTACCCTCATCAGGGTCTCACACTGCAACCCCTCTGAAGTCTTCTGAGCTAGGATTGTGGGCATGCACACCTGGGATGTATGGTCAACGTGGGACTCAAACCCGTGATCTTCCATATGGATTTAGCTTTGCTTGAGCAGTGCGTTACCATTGTGCTGCTTAGCCCAAACCCTCTGAAAATTCTGTGAGCAAAATGTATCTTTAATAACATGAGACCAAACACAGTCAACTTACGAGTATTTACATAACAGAAAAAACCCAGTGTTTAAGATATTCTAAAGCACAAAATATTTTCAAGTGGTAATTTTGTTTTCAAACAAAAGGATGCCATTTTTTCCCCCCTTTTCTGGCTTATCTCCTCATAATGCTGTAATGATGCTAGAATATAAAGCAGTTGGCATCTCCTCAGTAAAGGCCTATGAAATGGAAGTGGGAAAAACATTTAAGAATAGGATATGAAGAATTAGAAGGTTAGCTCAGAATTACAAATGCACTGTGGCTAACCCATACAATTAACGATCCACAGGTGGACAGTGTTTTACAAAACACCCAGGGGATGCTGCTCTGGTCTTTCAGTGATGAACAAATATTTTCAAAACATATCGTTTATTTAGGATATACTTTTTCCTTTTTTTTCCAGAAAGAAGATTGTGTAGAAATGTTAAAGTGAGCTTTTATGCTTTAAAATGAGTATCAAATTCCATATGGAGATGGCCACTATCCATCATAATACCACACGCTCCCACGTTACCTTGGATACAAGGCTGGCTCTGTATGCTGCTAGTTGCTTCAGGTACTCCTTCTTTGCAGCCTCGGTTTTCTTTTTATAGACCTGCAATGACAACGGAAAGTCTTAAATTAGAAAGTGCATCTGCTTTTGTTTGCAGAGAAGTACAATACAGAATGATAATTGCACACACATATACATATATATAATTATATAATATAATAATATATATCTCCCCCAAATTGTATTTTCTTACTGAAACAGATTTTAAAGAAGTATGGCACTAGAGTATAAAAGAAGATTAACAACAGTAAAATTTTACATTTTACATAAAGCATATGGGTTACTTTGAGAGTGGAGGTAGTTGGCTTAGAAAGATGGTATTGAAGAAGATCCCCAGGGACACCACCCATGAGTAAATAAGGCATTCATATTTATATAATGGGAGATAGTTCTACAGTGCATTCAAATTCTTACACATACGTTCCATCCTAAATATGAAACCAGGGACCAGCAGATGGCATAATGGTTACATTGCTGGACTCTCACGTAGCTGACCGCAATTTGAGTCCTGGACACGGCAGCTTAAAACACACCAGGTGTGTGCGCGTGTGTGCCCAAGATCCTGAGAGGAGAGTGGAGGAGAAGGGATTGTGGTGGGGCCATCCCTCCTGGGGGAGGGGGGTGATTTCTCGCTTTCCATCTCTGTCTCTCTCTTTCTGGTGAGCGCATGCGCCCTATATATAAAAAAAAAAAATCTCTTTCTAAAAGGAAAAAAAAAAAAGACTCAGAAATCAGAGGTCGTAGTTAAAGACACATCTAGGAGTGGACCAGGGCTCTAAGTGGCTGAGGGTGGCAGGCGTCCCCTGTGATGTGTGAGGTCTCCTCTGGTCATTTTTTTTCCAGTGAAACATGGGACAACATGGATCTGGGGACACTTCATTTTGAAAAGGTACAAATGTTACAAAATGAACTTCCATTTAGAGTAGTTTTTCATTTTTGAGAGAGAATTTTTATTTTTTAAAATTGCTGATTTAATTTTATTTTATAAATTTATATTTAAATTTGCTATAGGGCATGTGTACTCACTAGAGAGACAGAGAGAGAGAGAGAAAGTGCTAAAGCAAGCTGCCAGGTCCTGGACTCAGACCGTGGTCAGTCATGTGGGAGTCCAGCTCCTCAACCACCACGCCAACCGCTGGTCCAAGAGGGAGTCATTTTGAAAGGAAAAGTAAAATCATTTAAATTGAGCCAAGTACTGAAACACGACTTGTTCGTATGCTAAGGTCACATCCCTAAGGTAGACGAGAGGAATCGTCAGAGGTGAAGATGAGAGATGAGCAAAGTGAAGCCATACAGTTGTCCGCTACCGTAAAGTGATTCTTTAAAGGCTTTAGGGTATATTTTTCGCAATCTTTTAAAATCAGCTTGAATGACTAAGACATTTTTCACCACTTATTGTGCAAATGGAAATGCATTTTCATTGATACAAGTAGCTTAAATTTTCTACAGCCTGAATTTTACAGCAGGGAACAGGCTTGGCTAATATTTTACACTAATGAGCTCAAAAACAGACACAGATCACTATTGAAAAGTGGCTTTAGAATTAGAGTAGTTAAATATAAACTACGTGCAAAGACTGACTATTTGCCAGTTGGCAGCAGAGGTCAATTTATGGTTTCTAATATTGACTGTGGTTGGCTGGGTCCAGTACCCAACTGTGAAATTCAACATGTGAGAAATATTATTTGCTCATGAATATTTTAATTAAAGCAGAACATTTTACTTACAGTAAACAAATGTCTAACCTTGTCAACATTACTTTAACACAACTCTATGAAATGAATGTGCTAATTATTCTCCTTTAGGGAGGTCTTTAGCCTTGACTTTAACATTTGGCATCTTGTTATAATAAAAAGTCAATTAAAATAAGGAATTAAGAATGAGTAGAATATTATCATAGAATCACAGTACCGCCTTTACTTAGCATGAAACTAAAGAAATATTAAAAATCCTGTTTAGGAGTTTTCCTTAGTAAAAAGCTAATAAATCTTCTGGTTCAACCTCAAAAATATTCTAAATTTGCTGAACTAATTATTGGAAGTCAAATCCAGATTATTATTTATTATTTTTTCTTTTAAGAGGTTTTTGCCATAGGGTGCATGCGCTTGCCGGGGAGAGAGAGAGAGAGAAAGAAAAGAGAGAGACAGTGAAAAGGAAAGTGAGAAATCACTCCCCTGAAGGGGATGGCCACACCACAATTCCTTCTCCTCCAATCTCCTCCCAGGATCTTTGCCATGCACACAACATGTGCGTGGCTTGATTTTCAAATCACCCGGTCCAGGACTACACTGAGGCTGACCATGCAGAAGTCCAGCGCTGTGACCACTACGCCATCTACTGACCCAAATCCAGATTCTCTCTTTTTTTTTTCAATTCACACAATGAAAACAAATAAAAGCTGGAGGAGAGTAAATGCCTCTGACCTGTATGACCTGTGTATACTACATGTCTGTGTAGCCATAATCAGAAACACAGGTTTCTCCTGGTGTATTCATGTACTTTTTGTTGACAGACAGATTTCTGTTTAGAGTTTTCCCTTAAACCTCTACTCTAAAACATGACTTCTAATTAATATCCTTAAACTGACAATGTTTACATTTACTTTTAATACCGCAGAACTGTTTTAAGAGACTTTTTCCTCCCCCACACGTAGAAATCCTATTTGGAACTTGAAAGCAAATATAAGAGGACCTTTAAAAAAAATTCATGGACAATGCCCACTATGACAAAAAACAAACAAACAAAAACACTCAAAAAAACCAACTATGCATAGACTTAAATTTTTTTGCACTAGAATAAATCCCTACTTTAGTTTCATTTTTGCATGAACTTTTCAAAGCCCTCTCATATTTAGTAAATATATCTTTGATGGTAGCACACATGCATATACCCTAAGTATTTCTATCATGTTTTATTACTTTGCAATTCCACGTGATCCTCACCCAGGGTTTGTTTGGCTTCCAAAGGCAAATATAACACACTCTGGTCTGAAGCATTGTCCTAAGCATCCTTTTCTAAGTAGGGATAGGTCAGACAGATAAGGCGGTATTGCCATGACCTGACCTTTCATTTGGTTTCTACTGAACCAGTAACAGCGTTAGACGATGCTATGCCTTTGTTAGGCTCCTAGCAGTTAGCACTACACAAAGTGTTAACTTTCCTGAAATGTGTTGCCTAACAACCAGGGGAGAGAAGTGGCTGAATTTCAGGCTGAATGTGTGCCCCTGTGTTCACTCAGATCGATGTTGTTATGAGATACCTGACTAGCATTCAGAGTCCTCTGTTTTCCACAAATGGCTCCCCATTGGCTATTGATGATTGGCTACATGGGATCACCATCTAAGTGCCTAAACAGCTCTTTAGCAAAGAGTAAACTCTTCACGTCACATTATACAGATTGATAGATTTACTCTTTTCTGAATAGCTGCAGATGTTCAGAGGGAGAATTCAAAGGGGGGTCATTTCTGAAGGTATATTTCTGTAATTGCATCTAAAGGAAAGTGGTCTAGCTCAGAAGTTGAATCTGAGGTGGTCTTCTAAATAGTATTGGAACTTCACCTTGGAGAACAAACTAATGGTGCCAGTATTGTACATCCTGTATGTCTGTCTCTTTCTTTTTCTTTTATCTTTCTTTTTCTTTTTATCTTTTTCTTTTTTCTTTCTCTTTTTGTTTATTTATTTCCTCCATGAGTGCAAGAAGCACAGAGAGAGGAGAGCAGGGGAGAGAGAGACAGTACCTCAGCAGGGTCCTGACATCACAACCCACCCGCAGTCTCCATCAGCCCAGACCATGGGCACACACGTGCCTGGTGCTCAGGGAGGTCTCTGGAAGTGAGCTGACACTTTCTCATGTGGGTCAGCCTTGCTGGGTGTTGCCTTTTACCGCTGCACCTCTGTCCAGCCCCTGCCCTGTATGTCTTGCTGCTACCTTCTACAACTGGACAAAGATACTGTCTGAATTCGTATTTAGTGGAAGTGTGTGAAGACCGACTTAGATTTATGAGAGAGTGATAGCAGTATGTATGAATTCCACGTATCGATGAAGTGGAAAAATTCTTACTTCAAAACAGATACTTTAACATGATCAGTAGGAAGTTCCTCCGAAGGGTTTCAAAGTCTCTACTCATGGATGGAGGAAGTTCTCTCCTTGCAGAAATCGAACATGTCGCGGGACTGCGTTTGGCTATGAGTGGCCACAGCATTAAGCCAGCGCACACCCCTTCTAACCCGTGAGGATGGTCTGACTAATGTCAAAGCTAAGTTTGGGAAAAAATCAGTCTCTCCCTCTCAGGGAAAGACAAATATTTTAGAGGTATGTGATTCATACAGTAAATATTAGTACTCGGTCGAGCTACAAAGTGGCTTCCAAATGGTCCACAGCTGTTTGAAATAAAGTCCGACGCCGGCCAGATGAGGACTTAAAAATCATAATACACCATTTATCTTTCTCCCCAGCTCATCCAAACACTCTTGAATTCATCCTGTCCTAACTTAGTTATATGCTGTGGTTTGTTATTCCAAGAAAGCTACCCTATCCTATCGAAGAATTGCATCTCAGCGGTTGAACGAAACCATACCGAACAGCTGAACTACAACATACGCAGATAGACATCAAACAGCAATTCCAGAGAACCCAAATCCTGCTCAAGTAATCTAGTGACTCACTGAGTCATTTCTGAAATGCTCTAAATGCCAGTGTAGACACATGTTATCATAGACTAGTAATCCCTATTTAAAACCAGCAGTTCAGTATCAATAAATGGGGCAAATTTAAACAAAAAACAAATTCTTACACAATCTGTCATTTTATTCTTTTACTTTCTCCCCCTTCCCCAAGAAATCCATCCAACTCCTACAGAAGAACAAAATCGGCCAAATACCACTTAATTCCTTCTTCCTTCTTCCTTCCTGCTTTTCTGCTCTGCCTTTCATTTAATCTCTAGTCATAGTTTATTTTGATAGTTTTTTCCAATAAGAAAAAAAAAATAATTCTTCCAATTCTGGATTCTATTCAATAAATACTATTGAAAGACTAAAAGGGA